ATACAGGTATCACATCCAGTCAGTGGGATATTAACTCTGACAACTGGGCAGGAATGTGGGTGACATTTCACAGAAAAACTCATCAAAACAGATGGAGCTGAACAGCTTATTGGAGCTGAACATTGTTCATCCTAAACTGTGCCACAAGAGAATGTAACGTTCAGGCCCTTGTATAGCTTTCACTGATTATGCCAAATTTCTTGGTATTTTTATTTCCCTATTTAATTTACTGGGTTTATAAACAACAGCCTGTGTTGTACAGCAGCTTCATTTCTAATGCTGGCAGAGTTCCATTCTGGGATTAGCTGTAGCTTTTGTCCAGGTAACCTGCAGAGTTCAGAGCCTCAACACTAAATGCTGAGGAGATAATTGAAACTCTTAATTTCTTTGAGTTTGCCTCCTCTGTACTTCTGCACTGGCACCATCTCCAACCTTGGATGTTGATCAACTCTGCAGGAACACAAAAAGCAACACACTTTTGTTGTTTTGGCTGAAAACTCATGCCAAGTATTGAATTTCCCGTTTTGTACATAAAAATAAACGGCCATTTCTGATGGAGCAAGGGATGACACAGCAGACCATCCCTCACAGTCCTGCTGGCATCTTGGCTTCTTCCCAGCCTCCAAAGAAATAACACATCCCACAGTCATTGTGAGAAGTTATAGCACCTGTCTTCTGCTTTGGGCTTTTGAGAGATCCTGAGCTTGTCAGTAAAATACCCAGGACGTCTATAAATAGTAAATTAGGTGATAATAGCATTGTTTTTTGACAGGTTCCTCCTGTTTCCAAAGCAAATTCAATAGGTCTAGAGAGGTTTAGCCTTTATGTGGGAAAAAATAAATGATCTGATGAAGCAGCCTGAGAAAAAGTACAGCTACATGGTACTTGTATTTCAAGGATAACTGATACTTCATATTGGAGCTGGCTGAGCTTGATATAAAAATCAATATATTTGTGAGAAATGGGAATACCTAAAGTATTCCCAATGCTTTTGAGTGATGTGGCCAGGCACAGCCCAGTCACACATCCTGGCTGTCCCTGCTCTCTGATGTCCAGCATCAGACTCTTTTTGGTTCCTGCCCAACCTGGCAGATTATAGCTGCTGTCACTGAAACAACATCAAGGAAGCACAGGAACATGATTAAAGTAGGCAGCCTTGAGGGAAATCTTCAGAAAGTGCTTGAACTGGGAGTTTGTAGGGACTGAATGACAGAACTGAGAGCAAGGATTTGGAATGACTTCTGGACTCCACTGAGAAAGTAATTTCACCTGTCTGAACCTCAAAATTTTCCATTTGCATACCACTCCTACCATGCAATGCTCTTCCTGAGAGGTATATGATCACATAAGAAGCTTTTGAAATTCTCTGTGAAATTGCATTTTTAAGGTTATTTGGCTTGCAAACCTCAAAGGAGCAGAATCTGAAAAGGCATTGATTTCCTACAGTCCTGAACCTTAAAAGAGAGTCCTAGTTTCTCATGAATACATACATTTCTCTTTTTAAACATTTTACAATCATTTATTTGCTAAATGGCTTCTTAAACTGGATGGCTTTACAAGTGCATGCATTAAAATCAACATTTTTCAAGATTAGTGACCTCTTCCTCCTGTTTTGTAATTTTTCCAGCTCTTTTTCATCTACTCAGACATTAAAAACAACACCAGAGCTCTGTAAGCTTGGTTTTAACATAAACCCAAACTGCTGCTGCAGGACAGCACACAGAAAAACATAACACTTTGGATTTTGGATAAGGAGGCTGAATACAAGACATTTATTTCTCCCTGCATGTCATTTCCCATCACTGGGGATTTCGAAACTGCCAAGCAGCTACAAAGCCAAACATCAGAGTAGAGAACTTCCAACCAGAATCAGCCTCCAGTTCCATTGGCTCAACTCCACTTGCCAAGGATGGATACGTGGGATTGGCCTCATCCCCCTTTAAAATTGGTTATGATTTACTGTGTCAGCTCCCAACGAGGCAGATGGGGGTAGTTCTGTCAACAAAAGGTTGGGATGAACAACTAAACCTCCACCAAGGGCAGCACACAAACAACTCTATTTAAGCAAACAACTCTATATCCTGAGGTCAGTTATTTATTACCTGCAGCATCTGGAACATGTGCTGTTGCTCAAGGTCAACACACAAATGGTGGACAGTCACACCCAAAGAAGAAAGAAACCTAAGCTTTTTTTATTTCCATACCCTGTTGCCTTTAGTTGCTCTCACACAATACTATAATACCAACTGAGTACCACCAGAGTGCAGCTGGAACTAATATAATGTCATTTCAGTAAAATAATCAAATCACTCACTTGAATAACAGACAAAGAAAGCCCAACCTAAGAAGCACAACCAAGGGGGAGAGATGATGCCTGCAGTCAAGACATGAAAGGCAACCACAGAACAGATGAAGGCCATCAAAGAACCCAAAGAGAGTGGTTTCAGGACAAAACTTCAAGATTTACACAGTTGGCTATGTACACAAACATCTGCATTCCCCAGCTACTGGAACATTCTCACTTGGATTAGCTCCACAGTCAGCCAGCATTGCATCTTGATCACAATCAGACTATTTGGGATACCATTTCAATAAAAAATATAGCAGCTGAAAATGTTCTCTCCCTTTCTGCTTACGTTGCCTGGAACGTGTTGTGCTCTGTGTCATACTGATCCTTAGTTCTCCTCAGCAACAATACACTGTATTTCAGGGTGCCAATTGGTATTTTTTCCACAGTGTGACAATCTAAAAGCGGCATTCAGCTTTTTTACCTTGCTCACTAATATCAAGCACCTCTCAGTGGGCACGACAGTGACACATTCTCAGCACACAGCTGGATTTCTAACCACCCTTTTGAACTATGAAACCACTCTAAAAACAGACATTTAAGATACAGATCTCTCCATACACATACCTGTAATAGGGACAGTTCTGTCTGGGTTAAAAAAATTTTTAGAGGGGTAGCACATATCATTCTTAGCATTTATGTACACAGTGCACATAGATCCACACTTGCACTCTCTGCATTTAGCACTGATATTCCCATTCTTACTTCAACAAATGCTGATGCAAAGCAGCAATATATGAGATTAGACCCAGTGATGTAATTTAAACTGGCAAAGCAGTACGCAGACATAACCTGACCTCCATAAACCATTTTATCCTTTGTATTTAAAGTAGTCATCATCATAAATCTTATCCCTCCTCCAATCCCAGTTATTATAGCTGCATGCAGAAGAGGGCTCTCTATTCCAGTGCTGATATTTTTTTATCTGACAAACGTATTCCATTCTGGACTCCCTGCAGTGCTGTTTCCCTGGCTGCATTCCCAGAATCCCATGCTGCATCATCTGTACAGGTTTTCTCCCTCCTTTACTCCTCCCAAGCATCATGCCTCTTTTATTGGCTCATGAATCTCAAATTCCTTTGGATACCACTCGTCACTATTAAATTTGAGGATTTACACACCGATTAACTGCAGAACAGGATCTGTGTTTTGGTTACTGGGAAGCATTTGTGCTGTTACAAAACCCATCGTTTTCTTCCAGGGGAATATAAAGTTTTTTGGGGGTGTTTTTGGTGGGGGGTTTTTTGTGTTTTCTTTTTGTTTGTTTGGTTGGTTGGTTTGGTTTGGTTTTTTGTTTTTTGGTTTCTGTTTTTAACAGAAATCTGTTTCTGGTCAGTAACATTGTTCTGTCACGCAGCCAAAACCTGCAGAGGCTGTGACAAATAGGGAGGTCACGGTCAAATTTAATAAGATCTCACATTCCCTTGGAAATGCCACCAGGGAGCAGACAAAAGCAAGCGTTTGCTGAGCTCCTGGGGGAAAGCAGAGCGTTTGCACAGAAGCCCTTGGTATGCAGATGGTGTCGCTGCCTTTAGAAACAGGCTGAGGTTTGAAAGCAATGGGAACAAGCTCCCGGGGCTAAGGCTGAGGGGAGAGCTCCGGAGCACAAGCTCTACATGAGGGTGCGCAGGGCTGGCTCTTTGTTCTCACGCCCGCTGCGTCCCAGGAACAGCGGGATAACCACTCCGCTCATTCAGCAGAGGGAGAAGAGAGAGAACGCTATTGATGGATGGTGAAAACCCAAGAAAGAAAGCTCTCCCTGGGATGCACTCTCGGGAAGCGCTGGGCTGTGTGTCCGTGCGCCCCGACGGGACGGGCGCGGGCCACCGGCGCCACCGCCTGGCTGCTGTGGGGGTGCCCTGACGGCTCCCGAAACCCGCAGCTTCTCCCTTTTTTTAAACTTCATTTTGCTGGCTCGTGATGTGTGGGATGCAAGGCGCAGTGTGTGCCTATTACAGCAGGTAAGTTATGGCTGTGCTGCCAAGGGGGGACAGGGAACACTCCGCTGGGATCTCACTCGCAGCACGTGGCACAGACTGTCCTCCAGAACCTTTGTATGTTGTCAGAGACTGAAACGGTTCATGATTTGTGCATTCTAGGATTGCCAAGGGACTTTTGCAGACTTCTGCAGAACTTTTGGATTATACCTCTGATGGCCCATCAAAGCCCATCTTCCCCCGCCAATCTTGAAAGGTGGGAAAAACCCTTTTGCCAGGCCCCTCATGAAAACTCAGCACACTCCCAGGAGATTTTGGAAGCTCGTGGCATGGCCTGTGACACTAACCATGGATACAGTAACTCATAACTTCTTTGAGTGTGGGGTCTTCCCTCCTTCACCCCCAACAGATCAAGGCCACCACTTCAACTCACAGACATGGAAGCTGCAACTACCAAGTTCCATCGCTGGACCCCTCTCAGCTTTTCTTCCCCTTACTCTCCCTTATGCATTTTCCCCCCAGGGGTTTATCCCTATGACAGATAACACAGATGACAACACTCAAAATGCTAACATACCTGTTAAAACAAAATTGTTAAAATAAACCCTACCTATATATGTTTTCAGACACCGATTATTCAGTGTCGTTTCACTCTAATCCACTCCAAGGGAATTATTGATAAGAACCTGGGTTACCCCCCTCCCCTTTTTCTGTACCTGTGCAGGGCTTCAGTCGACTCTCAGCAAGCTCAGAAATGGCTCCTGTTGTGATGGTCTTCTTCAGCCTCGAGACTCCAGAAGCTGCTGCTGCCCCGGGCTTCATGAGCATGTCCTCGCTGCTCGCCCGCTTCAGCTGCAACACAGACGGGGAGCAACCACATCAGGACCTCGAATATCCTCATCAAGTAGTTCAAAATGCAGGGTTCCTTGGAGAAAAGGAACATTTCCATAAAGGAAACCCCGTGGGAAGATTGCTTTGATAACCGTACTACGTAATTTTTGTTTTGCGTTCTAGATTTCTGTGGAGTCGGTGAAGAGATAACGCTGTTCATCAGTGAGGAGTGAAAATGGGAAAGAGTGTTCAAATAGGCAAATAATTGAAAGGCAAGGAGAAAACAGTTTACAAGAGTAGTTTACTGGGCAGCTCTGGCTTCTCAGATCTCACTCTGAACAGCATTCATCACATTTCCTCACTGGTTTATGTTTAGTTGGGTACTTGGGCCTGTGCAGAGAAGTGCCAGTTATAGAGCCTGACACGCTATGGCAAAGCAGCAAATAACTGGTCCTTAATCTATCTATCAAAAAAACCCAAAACCTAAAGGGATCTGCTGGTTCACAAAGTTTTGCCCCAAGAGTGACTTTAGATCCTCTGAAGAGACTTCTGAGCTATTCCAACAAGCAACTGCCAGTTCCTTCTGCGTTTGACAAACAGGAGTCACCAAACTTCGTGGCATCATAAACTAGGTGATAAGAGCAAAGAACAGGAGGGAGAGCAAGCTGAAATCTGAAAAAATCAATTAGCTGAGAAGCTCAGGCTTATGATAAAATACAAGAGCAAGATCTAATGCAATTCCCAGTTGGAAATCCATTATCTTACACATGACAATTGCAGCTCTTTACCTCATTGTTTACTGAAAAGTCAAGAGCAAAGATGGCTGATGATCTCATGGCAGGACCTGATACTGTTTGTTCTACTGGGGACTGAAGGACTCAGTAGAAGAGAAATGGAAAAGTCTGCTCACAAGAAATGATTTTTTCTCATTTCCTTTCATTAAGGAAATAATTCACAGCAAAAATAAAAAATCCATTGGTTTTCAGAACAGATAAGTTGCAGAATTCTAAATATTAATACTGATTACTTCCATAGGCTTAGAAAAAGCCTATTTGATTTACAGGGTATTTTACAGTATTATTAAAAAAAATATCAGCAGATATCACTGTAACTTACTCAGCTTTATTGTACATGAGAATACAATGGACCATTGCTGCTGTGTGGTCTTTTTTGGGAAGGGATTTCTGGTAATGCAAGACTACTCTAAGTGCCTGCTCAAGGAACCCATGCAACACAAGCACCAGGAAGATAAGATTCAAGCAGAAACATTGAAATTATGTTGCTTCAGCAAGTAGTAGTTTATCTCAGAACTTTTTTTATCTCAGCTGACTTCTCAGCCTCTAATTAATTTTGGGAAAAATACTTCAAGCATTTTAAGACCAAAGCTTTGGAGAGTCTCCCTAGAGCAGTACATTTTCCTATCCTTTTCAGTTTGTGGACCCCCAAGCTGTTTCCACAAATGAAAACCCACTTCCTTTGAAGCTGTCCAGTGACACCCAGGGGGTCCCTGAAGCACAGGCTGAAAACCACTGCTCGGGTTAAAAGCAAAGAGAGCACACAACAAGCACTGTCCCTGTTTAAGTGGTTCCTGAATGCGAAACGCTTCAGCAAAATGAAATCTCTCAACTCCAATTCTTTCCCCCTTTCATCTCTTCCTTTGACTCAGAGTCTGTGGTTTCCTGGACCCTGTGAGCACATAAGTTTCCATAGCTGAAGTGTTGATGTGCTCCAGGATACCAAACAGGGAACGTTTTGCCTCCTGGCTGAGGTTTTGTCAGCTCTCTCTGAGGAGGAGAATGGAACAACCTGACTCTCTGACCTTCAAAGACTTCTGCAGTTTCTCTAAAATAATTTCTTCAATGTGTCCTCTCCTACAGCAGCAACTATGGTGCCTTTTCTATTCCCTTTCCTCGAGGAAACCACTTTGATCTTGCATTTGCAGACGAACAACAATTTGAAGGTATTAGCAGTCATTAGGAAGAAATCTCTCTACATTTAACACTAAATTGAACAAATTAATCATATCAGATTTCCTGATTAGTCTCTTCAGTAGCATTCCTTCAGAGATGTGTGCCTCAGCCACACAGCACATACTCCAGTGCTGGACATAACCTGCCTGGAGCTCTGGACTGAAATATCCAATTGATAAGTGCATTTAGGAGTCTACACAGCAAGTTAAATAAATTAATCCTTTGCTCAAGAAACTGTGACAATTAATGCAGTTTAAAGCTCCTCTCGATTAAAATACTGTACCCTGTTACATATTGTTCACTAAACTTTACTACTGGAAACAGTTTTAAGCAGGAAACCTGTGGTCTATTTTCATTACTGGTACGTTGGTCTGTATTTATATGACCAGGTTATTTCTATTTGCTGGCTGCACAGGTAGAGATGCAGCAGCATTTCAGGTGTATTACTGCATTTTCTTGAAAACATTATTTTACCAGAAGTATATTTTAAAATATATTTGTACAGAAAGATAGGATTCATAAAAAAACATCTGTTCCATTGCAAGTAATAACTTTTGTTAATATATCTTGCCTTGCAGGGAGAGGCACAGGTTTTTAGGAATTCTGGAAATTCATTAATAAATCTCTTTGAATTTCTTTACACATGTAACCATCAGCTGAACTAAGAATTTGCCTTTTATCTTCTTCTGTCTTCAAAGTTTAGGCAATTCCCTCACACAGAGTGTAGAGATACAGTGTCCTCCCCATCACATGCAAAATACTCCCAGAAACGTGCATTAGTCTAATACACAACATAATTGTGATCTCCCTACACTTGATAAAGCAGTTGAGCCCACTCCAAGTCTCAGGGTGTATTATTCCAGGACTAAACCTAAGCTTTAACCTGGAACAGGGCTGGAATGCTTGCACAGTCCCTGTGGGTCAGTACCTTGCTGAGCCGAGATTCAAAGGCCAGGGAAGTGGAGGACTTGGATGTCTTCATTCCTGTTGAGGTGGTGGAAAGAGATTTTCCTCTGTCAATCCCATGGCTCCCTTGCTTTGCCATTGCACTCCAAGGCCTGGCACTGCTCTTCATTTTCTTCCCAAATAACTCAGTCTACAGACCCTAAAAAACAGAAAAAAGTTTATATATATATTAAAAATATATATACATCCACAAAAATATAAGTTGTCTTTCTGTTACCTGAAAGAGAGCAGAGATATCTGGCACCAGTTTGAAGGGCTGAAAAGGTTCTGCTAAACTTGATTCCTCTCTTAACCACACCAAAACTCAGCCTAGAGAGTCCTTCAGTGCAGGCTGCAGCCACTTATATTTTTCAAACCAGCTGATAACATGAAGTACCACAGAAGGAACATTGACTTTTGTTGTGACTGTCTAAATCAGAGACTTCTATCAGGCACAGCAGAACACCTGAGAATGCTGAAAGCACAATGAAAGAGTGAGAACACTGAAGTCCACAGCAATTGAAAACAACCTTGGGATAAAGAGAAAATTATTTCTTTTACTGCTATATCCAGCATCTTCAACTGAATGAATACTCACTATTTAAAAGTCACATGAGAAAGAGTTTCCTCAGTTAGATGGAAAATATAGAATCTGTAACTTATCAGAGTTTTCTAGAGAAGCAGCAGTTGATGTTGCCACAGTGATAAAAAGATGTTTCACAATACTAAGATTTACAAAACATGGTAAGAAATAATCAACTTCCTTGCAAACAAAGATCCAGATCCACTATTCCTCAGAGATGTGCTTATGCAAGAGAGAAATCCTGCCAGGAATCAGCAAATAGACGCAATTTCCTTTTTTTGGATATAGCTGAACACATTTAATGTGCCAGCAGGAACAACTAGCCTGTTTCTCTCAGCAGGCTGACAGCTGCCAATTAAACAGCTCCCTCAACTCCTGGAGATCTAAAGCCATAAATTTTCACCAGCCGTCGCCCAATCCAAACCACGAGCAGAATAAAAGAATTATATGGATATTTTTTTAAAGTCCCAGCAGCCTGCTGGGCTGGGAGTGGGAGGGAGGGGAGATTGCTTGATAACTCCTGCCCTCCTCCACTTCAGGATGAGCAACACTTTTCCTCATTTTCCAAAATAGACACAGGATGTAGCTGTGGATCAGTCTCGTGTAGGCAGAGGCCAACCTGCTTCTTGGCTGTTAAACAGGTAACCAGAATATCTGCACAGATCAGCCCAGTGCTCACAGGAGGAGTCCAGCTGGGCTGGTGGGGGCTTGGGCAGTGAACCCTTCCACACAGAGGGGCTGGAACAGTTTATTCCTGGCTGAGTCAGCAGGAGGGCTTTGGTCACGTTTTACATCTCGTAATTTGCTTTGTGCTTCATTTCCCATTCACAGATGAGAACACTCCTTGAACTCCCAGGACACAAACCTGTCTGGGGCCAAGGTGTGTTTGGCAGTGACAGCCCCGTGCAGGTGCCAGCACAGCCTATTCAGGGAGCGTTTGCTGCACAGAGGCAGAAGGGGATGTCAAGAGCTCTGCTGCTGTTTTACAGAGAACAAAGCCAGCAAGTGACATTCCCTCTATTTGTCCTTGGTGCCTCTCACAGGGGGGGCTGTCTCCTCTCTCCACAGCAATAACCTCTCAGCTCCTAAATAAAGAAATAAAAAAGTTGGTAGTTATTGCTAAGTATAGTCATTACTCCATTAAAATTCTTAACACATCCAGCGTGGAGCCATCCCCTGATCTCATTAGAGTCTTTGTTGGTGATTATGCTGATCACTTGGCTCTTTTAAAGCCCTGGCAGATACGTAAACTATTCTACAATAGATAATAATGTTTAGTGTTCCCACAGCTCATGAGCCACCCTAGCAAACTCTGCTGCTTTACAGTATTTAAAAACCTATCATTTAACAGGCTTTTCATCTTTTTAACTGGCTTTTAACATCGACTGTATTTCTATGGGTGAGCGAGCAACTACACAAGCAAATTCTCTTCCTGATGAGATCTCCAAATTATGCAGATTTTGGGGTTTTTTTTCAGATCCAGTGGTTGCTCATGCATTTTGCTTTGTTATACCCTCTGGATTTCTTCATAACTATACCTCATATTTTCCTGCCTTAAGCTGTACAGATGCTTTCTTGGTATCCAAAAGAATTTAATTTTGAGTCATCCATAACATCTAAAAATTGCAGTGGAGTGATATGCTCATTAGACCATGATGTTAGAAGTAGAAGAAATAGGTACTTAAAAAAAAAAAAAAAAAAAGGCAAACCACAACTCAAGAAATCCAGCCAAGTAGCCTGAGGCAAACTGGCTTTTTCATGTAAAAATACCTGAATTATGTGCCATGTGGATTTAATAATATTTTACTACACCAAGCAGATGAAACTAAAATTGAGAAGAAATACCTGGATTTACTGGTGTTTATTATTAGTTTTCTATGCATTTCTGTGACAACTGGCATTTGTAAAAGATGGAGGTAAGACTTCTCAGGTATTTGGCTAAGCTGAATTTGCCTTGTAGATAAAGATTTCCATCTCTGAAGTGGGATTCCAAGACTTTCCACAGGCCTTATATGTACTTCAAAGAATCAAGCCAGGTTGCACACATCCTAAGCTGCTTTCATTCCTAAGTAGGTGACACATATTTGAGTTATTAGAAGTACTGCTTCAGGAGTAGTACTAAATAAAACTACTTCCAAAGGAAAAAAAAAAAAAAGGTGGGGGAAGTCCTGCTGCTCTTTGATGAGAGCAGGAAACCCATTCTCAGAGTCAACATCAGCTTTCCCTCTCCTCCAAATTCAATTTATTCCTTTAGAGTAAAACACACAAAACAAAAAAGCTCCATGGAAGTGGTGAGCAGTTGGGACAACGGGAAACCCAGACATTAAGCATTATGAAAAGGCTCCTGGCAGGTAAATAACAGAGAACTGGCAACCAAAATACAACTTAGATACCCCAAATGCCTGCAGCCACTTAGCAATTGGGAAATCCAACACTGGCAAAGGGGTTTCTCTAATCCTGGTGTAGAAACAGCACACACAGGGACAGCTTATAGTAGATTATACTAAAAACATCAGATACAGCTCTTATCTACTTGTCTTAGAAGTAACTCTACTGTATTTTAACCAAATATCAGCATTTCCTTCCCCAAGGGCCACAGAGGGATTATCTCCAGGCTACCCAGAGAGAAACTTGAAAGAGAAGCATCTTTCCACAAGGGACACAACCAAGCTGCTTCTGCAAATAGAGTGACAAAAATCACTGGGTTTACACCCATTCTGTCCCAGGAGGTTTCAGATGAGACACGCTTCTGTCCACTCTCACGGAAAAGGACTCGCTCCAAGCAACACCTGGACCTCTATGATTTTATTTTTCATTTCTTCACATTTCACAGGGAATTTTTCCTTAGGAAGCAAACAGAATCCTGAGATTCAAAAAGTCTTTCTCTGGCATCAGCCAGAGCAGGTCACAATCATTACCCGGCCACAATTAAATCCCTGTAGCATTCCTCTGAAAACACGAGGAAGCAACTCCATGCTGAAATAAATGATGGCTCACGGCAACGTGTTGCTTCAGAGCAGCAAAATCAGTTCTATTGCCACTCACTTCCAAACTGCAGAGTTTTTTGGGGTTTTTTCTAAATCTTTTACACTCAAAAGTGGTGTCTGAATAAACCCTCTCCTCTGAAACAGGTGCTGCAAATGAGATAATCAGAGGGTTTACCAAAATGTAAAGCTGGTCCTGACAGAGCTTTTTCTCTCAGTAATCCTCTGAATTCCCTGCAGCCATTAGTGTTTAAAAATTCAAGCCATGCTATGCACTTCATCTTTCTTACTGGTATTTTTAAAGGGTGTTTGGAATATTTTAATGTAGACTATTTTGGCAGTTGGCAGAGGTTTTACAGTCCATTTTACTTGAAATTTTACTGTTTTATTAAAGACTGGGAACCTAGACATTTCTTTATTAATCAGTCTACATGCATTTATTAATAAAAGTTTTTGGAACCAGTCTAGAATAATCCCCATTTTATGGCTAGAAAACTTGGATTAAGACTTTATCCTAACTCACAGGCAGGCAGCACCAGCAGAAACAACACCAGGTCTCTGGGATCTTTAGACTTGGCTGTCCATCAAAGGAGGAATTCACCAGTTCTGCAGAACAAACATTCAGCAGGATACACATTCTGCTGACTATTAAAGGCTATTTTATTCTGAATAACTAAAAGGAACAGACAGGTTGATTTGAGTGATGATGAGCAATGTTATTTCACAGTCAAGAAACCTTAGGAGTTACACTATTAAATAAATAAAAATCATTAGCATAACTGCAGAAATTAAATTACATAGCAAAAGCCCTTTTGAGGGGCTAGAGATGGAAATTATCTGTATCTCATGTCCTTTACACAGCTTAGGTTTGCTGCCCATGTCTGTGTGTGAGAACAGAACAGCCAAACTACAGCAGAGCCACGCAGGAAGCTGCCTGGGGAACATGAATGAAAGAAAGAAGTATGAAAAGCCATTACTAAATCTGGAGAGTGATGTGCCAGATGGCAGGTTCACAGAGAGCTGGGGATGCCCAGCACTTCTGAAGAATGAGGCCAGAAGGACCAGCTTTGCAGCCAAGACCCTCAAAGGACAGGAGTCTGACTTTGGTAGGTTAAACCCCACAGTCCCCTGTGCCACTTTCCTGTAATTCAGTTATTTTTCATTACAGCAAAAGGTCAGACTCTTCCAGAAGTTTTATCACACTTTTTGAAATCAAAGCACATTTTTTTTTTTTAATGTAAAATCTGCATCATGCTTATATGATTTTCCTTCTAATCAACTTCTGCTATTTTCAGACAAACTATCAACTGGAACATAGAAATATCTAACAAGTTCAGTAAACTGTAAAGCATTTTCTGGTGGCACGTAGGAAGCTCTATGGCAGGAGAGACAGCTGGGCTAAAATAGAATTCTTTTCTGCCTTTCACATCAATTAACTTTAAACAACAATTTTTAGGCCTGACAGATGCTTCCATATGACTCATCTTGATTTCTTAACTGATATTAGGAATCAAACCAGGGAAGCTGATAGTCCAAATACAGTCATTGGTAACTTGCAGAGAGATGGCACAGATAAAAATCCAGTTGGAAATA